AATTTAGTCATCATTGTTCGAGGGCCATGGGCCAACCACTGCGCTTATATGCAGGCACTTGCATTCACATTAGCTCACTTCATGATATAGCACAGCACTAAGAGGATGATATTCCACTTTCGTGGATAAACCTAGAGGCACGTCACCCCTCACTCAAGGTTTAACAGCTAGTAAAGGACAGATCCAGGATTCAGAGCCAAGGTTTGAACTAAGCTCTTCTGAATCCAAAGCCCATGGCCGAAGTTAAACACATTGGAAAGGAATGGCATTGTCTCACCACTTTCCTCATGGTAAGACAATGACAAATTATGTCTGTCGATGGACTGTCACCAATGTGTCTGAGCAAACGCCACTTAGATCTTCATGAGTCCACCACATTGACCATCATCTGGAAACTCATCTGTCGAGTTTAACATTTTCCCAGTCCACAGCCCTTTCATTTACCCCGACCTCTGGCCACTTGCTTTGCATGTGCTGCCAGTCGGGCTTATGCTACCAGATGTCAGCGGCACATGTTTACTGGTTGCAGTCATGCTTGCAACCAAAGCATACGACTAGAAAAAGGCTAGTTTTGCTCATTATAGCTAGTAAACCCTAGTCATGAATGTACAACATTGTTTGATAACTATTAAGTAATCTTTTTATTGTAGAATTGAGGGTAGAATTTCTAATTCTAGAAGGCAGCTGCTATATAGAGAATAGCATAGCACTCAACGTGAAGGAGACTAACCTGCTGAGCCCTTACTCTGTACCAGTCACAGTTAAAACACTTTATATTATTTCGTTTTCCCCCTAAACTACAATGAAAGGCAAAGTCACTGAGGTGTCCCATTTTTTAGGTGAGAAAGCCAAATCTCGGAGATTGTGAATTTTCCTATACATAGTGATTAGTCCAGGTGGGGCTCCAACCCAACTTTACTTGGCCTCAGGGCCTATACCCTCTCCATGACATCCCACTGACCTCCATGTCAGCAGGGCCCGACTTCTAACATGATTAGAAATGCATTAGCCAAGTCGTTATTAAGCTTTTTGTGTCTTTGTTTTCTCATCTTTAAGATGAAAAAAACTCTATCTTACACTCATGGGTCAAATAGACAACACAGATCCAAAACACTTAAGACAGTACTGGTCACATCATGGGCATTAATAACTGATTGCTTTACTTTACATAAATTATCTGAGACAGGAACCAAAAAAGGAACTTTCCATAATTTAACATCTTTCAGCCTCATTTTCTTTCCATTCCCATGATAGTCAACAGCATAACCATTCCATTAATGAAATTTAAAGGAACAAGGGTAATTATATTTGCTTTTAGTTCTAACTCTTTGAAAACTGTTAACCAATATATGGATAGATCTAGTCCAGCTGTTCAGTTAACCCACATTTTTGGATTATGGTAAAAATGTGGGGTGTCATGATGAATGACCCAGTTGGTAAAATATGCATGTGCTGCGGGAACCAGCAAATCAGGGATACCTGTGCTATGAGGTAGGTTCCAGCTATAGTGAGTGTTTGCAGAATTTTATAATCTGAAAATCTAGGGGAAAATGCTATTAAAATTTAAGCACTTATTTAAATTTTGGTTTTGGATTTAGTGCTTTTTTAAAAAGTTCAACATGACAGGAGGCTTTGGAAGAAGGCATCTCAAGCTTTCCAGTGCTTAAGGCACAACCTGAACATGGTTGTGGAAAACTGTTCAAAATTTGTTGATTTACAGAAAATACTTAAAAGTTACCAAACACTTTTTAAAAAGTATCCAATAATATTTTCCAGAATAGAATGCTTTTTTCACCTTACCTGTTCAGAAAAGTGTTTCCTTTACTGTTTACTCTATCAAAGCAATCTAAATAATGTTTCAGTTGACAGACAATAATTATTTAGCTCATAAATATGCCACTGTTGACAAGTTTATATAAGTATCTGGATAGCGTCTTTTATTTCACATGAAAGTGGCCCCAGCTTACTTTCAATAAGATATGACATGTTTAGCTTCACTGTAAGATCTTTTAACAAATGTTTGGCAAATAAAAATGCATCATCATACAAGGTTTTGGGAAGAACATTTTATTGCTAAGCATATCCTTGAACGAAAATGCAAATATGAAATAAAAGAGAAACGGAAAAAGAAAGAGCAGTAACGTCACAACATCATAAAATAAATTCCGTAAGAGTCTGTTCATAAAACAACAGGAATATGAAAGAAGCTCACATACAGAATGCACATGTTCCCATAAAATTGTCCAAATAGAACTTCCACTAAAAGGAATAAAACACATGTATTTTTACTCAAATTTTTTTAAAATGTAGAGAAAGAAAGCAGAAAAATCAATTCACAAGACCTCAAGACTCCAAGAACAGCAATCTTTTAAAGACATCGAGATATAATCAACTTCGTATAGGTTGGGCCATTTAGGTCATCTAAAATCTTGCTTTGACATCTCTTTATAATCCTGTCTTCCTTAATGACAAAAGAAAAAAAATCCAAAACTCTTAACACATTGAAATATCAGATAATGAGGAACACCTCTTTCCATACACATTAGTAAAGGCTACCATTGTTTAGATTGCACTTTTTGCCCCATATCTTTAAGGTATTTTTTTCAAAGTCAAATATTCATGCAACTTACAAAGACCAGCAAGAGTAGATTTCTAAATCTAAACAGCTGATAGATTTTCACCTGTACAGAAGAAATTGTATATATCTGACCCTCCAGAGGACACGCTTCGTTTTCGCGTGAACATCGGTCTTGCTTTGTCTCTTGCCTTTTGGATCGCTATGGCCACACAACCAACCCATTGTTTTCCTGTACATTGTTTCCTCTTTTCAAAAAGAAAGACAGACAACCCGAATATAAACCAAACAACGGAAGTAAACAAACAGAAAGGAAAGAACACTTCTCAAAGCAGTATGTACATAGGTGGCTGAGGAATTACAACAGCAAGAATGTAGTAAAATATGTAAACAAAATCTGAGAAGATTTTTTTTTTTTAATTCCCTTTGACACAGTTAACTGTGACAAAACTAAAACTCACACTTGCTTCACATTTTAAGGTTTACTTTTTTGTTGTTTTGTTATTTTCTTTTAAAACAACATTCTCATTCCGCTTCAAGACTTGAACAGGGTCCCTGTTTCAGCCATCCCATCAAACATACCATGATAAATATATCTGTATATATATTTATTTATATATATATTATACTATTAAATTCCTTTTTGTGTGTGTGTGTGTCACAGCAGCTTTATTCATTTAGTGTTTATTAGTTAGTTTTAGAAAAGATGGGTGAAGGGAGACATGAGCGGATGGAAGGACAGTTATCCCTAAGTGTCAGGCTACAAAATTAAACCACGATGAGAAAACATGAGCACGCGGGGGCGGGGGAAGAACTATGTATCTGCGCTGTCTTCATGCCAGGTCTGGCTTGTGTGACCTTTCGTGGGTCCGTCACCAGCTGAACCCCCCTGCTGTCTGGGTTAGCGAACAGCCTGTCAGTAGTGTCTTTTCGTCTAGGTCTGCATGCATTTCACTGAGCCGCCGATCCAGCCCACCCCTCCCGTCCCCTTCTCTGGGGCAGGCTCTGTTTTAGTTTGTGGGGCCTTCTCCTTGACCACAATTTGGCTGGGCTGACGGACAGGAACAAGACTGTTAAGTAAACCCAAGGGCTGTGATCAAAACCAGCCCTGGCCCGGTCTGTTCAGGGTCTGGGTGGCGGATCCTAGAGTTAGGTCCTGAGGGCCCCGCTTTTCCAGTCCACACCGGCACCCATCCCGTGATTTCGCTGTGTGTTCAGCAGAGCATCATAGAGGAAACAAACAACAGATTCTAAAAACACCACAACCTGGTATGTAGAGCGAACACCATGGTAGCTTTTGAGTTCGTATGGCAATAGTCTCTCTCACGTTAGTTTTCTGAGTTTTTTTGTTGGTTGGTTTTTTTCTTCTTAACGTAGGTCCAGTCATTCTCAAAAAAATAAGCAAAAACCCAAAAGCCATTTCTTTCCCCTCAGATCTTGCAAAGTTACACACACTGGCCAGAACCAGATCCAGGTGGAGGGGAGGGGGTGCTTTTGTGTGTGTGCGCGCGCGCCGGTGTTTTTTGTGTTTTAAACTTTTTTAGTTTTTTTTGTTTGTTTTTTTACATAATTAAACAACAACAAAAAAATCGTTACAGTCAAGCTTCACAAACATTGTTACAGGCTCGCTGGGAGCTGTGGAACAGAGAAGCCAGGAGGCCGCCGGCGCGGCGGCGCGGGGTGTGCTTT